GAACCAAAATCACATTTAATAAATAATAGAAAATAACAAAGCAACATTTATTTTGGTGGTATCTTCCACCATCCTCTCTAATCCGGAAGTATGTATACAAGGAAGATGGAGGACAACTAACTGCCAGCAGTACAACATGCAATACAACCCTAACAGATAAGTACATATAACAATAAAAAATAAAGAACATTTAAACAATATTAACTGGATTGTGTGTCTTTACTCTGGTATAAAACTGTTATAAGAAGAATGCACTAGCAAACTAATAGAATGCCTATGAGCAAATTCATGAAACAAAAAGTCACAAACAGGGGAATTTGTAGAATGTGAAATTACATGACTTGTAAGCCTGTTAATAAAATATTAGGAAATATTATAATAGCATAGTTTAAATAGTGTCTGCAAAAACGTATGCCAAAAATAACCAACCTCAAATGGCAATAAAGCCCACATCCTGCCTCTACTCCAGCTGCAGGATTCCCTAAAATAGCACAACTGTTGACAACTGCTGACAATTTTAGAAAGTGGTTATGCTGGTAGATCATTTTAAAGCAGAGAGGTGTGTTGGATTATATTGAGTCTCTGCCTATGAGGTACCCTTACCAAAAAGTAGTATACTTCAAGTTCATTTTAGTAGGTATACTTAAGTAAAGTTCAAGTATATTTTTAAGTATACTTTATGTAGTAAGTATCCAAATATCAGTGTACTAGTAGTATACTTGTAAGTGTACTTTCTAGTACATAAAAGTATACTTTTAAGTATACTTTAAGTATAACAGTAGTAAACTTTAAGTACACAACTAGTTTATATCAAAATGTTTAGTTTGTACTGCAACTATACTAAAAGGGAACTTATACTGATAGTTTACTAATTAAATACTTGCAGTAGCATTTTTAGTACACTTTGAAGTATAGTCTCAGTAAACTACTAGTTTAGTAGTTTTATACTGCAAGTATACTCGTAAGTTTTCTTTAAGTGAACTTTACATCATACTTTAAGTATGCTACTATGTCCCTATTTAGGTATTAATTTGTATATATTTTGTTACATGAATATCTGAACATGCAAAACATCAAAAGAACAGGGTATCTGCTTGTAAACAAAAACATTTTATTCTAGCTTCATGCATTCTTTTTTTAAACACTTGAATGTGGATAAGTTTCATAAATAAAAAATTAAGAAATAAACAACATTTTGAACAAAAAGCTGAAAAAAGACTATGAATTGGATTCAGATTCAGAATGATAATCAAACTGTAGATAAAGTTTATCAACACCCCAAAGTTTGACAGTTATTATTACCTCTTCATTGGTCGACATTTTAGTCCATAACGTTGCACAGTTATGATGCTGTTTTATGTCTGATGATCCTGTTAGAATACATGTGGAAGCATCTGTTGTTTCGGTTTCTTCTTCACTTGTGTTTTTTGGGAAATTCTGTACAGAAGATGTGTACTAGCGCCCCCTACAGTATAACAATGAAAACACGGATTCTAGGAGCACAATTATAGCTAAAATATATTTAGACTTTTTCTAAGTATAAGTCAAGTATACTTAAATGTCATTTTAAGTATATTTCTGAGAAGTACATAAAGCCCATTTCTGAGAAGTACATAAAAAGTAGACAAAGTATACTTTCCTATTTTTAGTTTAAAAGAAGTATACTAATAGCACACTTGAATAAACTTCTTTTTCGTAAGGGTAAGCATCATGTGGGACAACAGAGACCACAAATTCAAAACGTTCATGTTAGACAAACACCAGTGCTCACTGTTATGAAGACAAAATTCACATAATTATGTGAAATCCGCCAATTCAAAGAGATATGCTGTCTTGCAGCTTTGACCTTGGAGGAAGTTAAATCATGACAACTGTCAATGGATTGACAACTTGACCGGCAACTGTGAAAACATCAAATACAGTAACGTCAAACATTCCAACTTCCTCAGCCACAAAATAAAGTCATACATGATACCGATGACACTAAAAGTGACTCTCAAAACTGAAGAAAAACTTAAAAATGATTGATGATTGTACATACTCTTTCTATATTAAGAATTCCTAGAGTTCTCATAGACTTGTTAATGTGTTTGGAAGGGTTATAACCAGAGTTGTGCAGACATTACCAGCTAATCTGAATGCCCAAACTGAGTTCTGAGGTCTCTCCCCTGTGCAAACATTACAGGAATGTAAAATCAAATACACAGAGTTCTAGCAAAACAACCCACAAGGAAAGAGCATTAACCAAGAAAAAAAAGAAAAAAGATGTTGATTCTTAGAAAGTGGAAAACTGTGTGTGTGTGTGTGTGTGTGTGTGTGTGTGTATGTGTGTACATCTACTCTAACATATTTTGTGGACCTTGGGGACAAATTATAGATTGTAAAAACAATCTATAAATAAATCAATATAAATAAAATATAGAAAACTTTCTGTTAGGGTCAAGGGTGTGTGTAAAGTGTTTATAATAAACTGTATGTAAAAGCAATAAAAGACTATGTAATGTCCCCTTTAGATAGCTAAGTAAACATATTTGTGTGTACAGGTTTAGCCTATGGGGACCAATATCAGCACAAGTGTAGCAAAACCTGAATTAGTTGCATTGCAGGATACATCCAAATGTTCCCACAAAAGGAAAGTGGGTTGAATCCAAGGAGCTCTAAAATAATTTTACAATCGTTGTCTGATGGTAAAGGCTGCATCTGCCAAATGAAGGCACAGCACCTGGGCTTTCTGCATGTGATAACAGCTCCATCGCTGTAGACCATTAAAAAAAAAATACACAAATAAGTGTTTTGGTTAACTGCATCAGTCTCTTTAAAAAATGTTAGTTGTTACATAATGTGTGAGAGCAGAAAAGGTCTGTTTCATCATTAATATCCTTGTTCACGTTCATCTTGACTGAGCTGGAGGAATAGTTTGGGTAAGGGTTGTTGCCTCCCACAGCCCTTCATAACGCCGGCCCTGAACGCAGCACACACCAGTTTGTTCCGGAGGCGAAATAGCACAGAGAAGGACATTTGTGCGAGTCAAATTTGAACAGTTATAGGGCTGTTTCTCAATTCCCAGAATGTAAAAATTGGTCCTGTGTTCTTGTGGAGGCTGGTCTTGCCAGACTACCTTAAAAGAACAAAACTCAAAAGGATACAAGCCACATTTACTTCTCATATACACACAAAACTTTTACAGATGCACTGTGGAGAGTGCGCTAACTTGCTGTATTGCTGTGTGGTTTGGAAACAGCACAGCACATGACAAAAGGCACTTTAAAGGAGACACATATGAGACCATCAGAGTCTCTAGCTGAAAAATCTAAGCACAGTGTGTGCTGTTGTTGAGATCTCTTCCAAACTTTAAAGGAGACCATTGTGAGAGTGTTAGACTTTGAAGAAGAAGAAGCAGACTCAAGCATGTCTCCATTTGATCTTAGAGTAACCTCATTTCTATCAAGGAGAAATATTTGAGATGTTAAAGAGATCTCACTTTTGATTAGTTTTTTTGTTTTTTTGAAGGGGGAGGGGGTTACTTGTGTATCTTTTTTTAGTACATTAAAAGTGTCTCTGGTGAATTATCTGCTTGCATGCATCTTTACACTGGTGCGATTGTGACAGTCTTAACTACGGTGGCCAAGAGAGCTCAACGCGCTGCAACTGAAGAAATCACATGCAAATTGAAAAAGCACCAGCAAATAAGGAAAAACTCTTCATCAGTTTGACTACACGTGTGCTTGCAGATACAGATGCTAATGTTAAAATAAACAAAAACTCACCTTGCAGGTGATCGATTAGACACAATGTCCTAGCCATGTTTTGTCACTTGTAGGGATCCTTCTGAAACATGAAGTATTTGCAGCACCTATGTTATCAAACAGACAAAGTTGTTTTCTTAATTTTATGGTGTTGCATGTGGTTTTTAAGCTGCAGTACGTTGAGCTCTCTCAGCCACCATACATACGGTCATACTTTGGACTTTTTTTATTGTGTTTTCATTCCTCATGTGTTCATTGACCCAGTTTTCCCTCGTGTCTGATTATGTCATTTGGTTCACCTGTGTCTTGTCAATTCTCCTCATCTGCCGGTGTATTTAAGTTTCTGTCTGTTCAGTGCGTTTTGGTTGGGTCTTTCGTGTCTAATCTCTTGTGTCTCTACCTGCCCTGTCTGGATATTACCCTTGTGGATGATTAAAGCCTGTTTATGTCTTCGTGTCCATTCATCCACACACACACACACACACACACAGCAATGAGTGAACAGGTAGGGGAAATTACCAACAACAATGGATACAAATCAACTACGCCACCCGGCATATACCGGGACATAACCCTATACAAGGGCACACAGGTTCATTGCCAAAGGCAGGGTGAGCATGGAGACATAGGCAAAGTATAAAAGTTAAGCCATTTATTTATACACAAATGAAACCGTTTAACACATTGGTTTTTATACACAATCTTAATCAAATCAGATACACAAATCTACCAGTTACAGAAATGACCAGTAGGAGAGAATTGGCCAGCGGGGGCCTTTTGGATTTTTACCTCACACCATCCCCACACCACACAGTTGTGAAAACAATACAATTGGTTAAGCACCGCACTCCATGTGGACACACTAAAAGACTACAACCCCCTCTTTAAGTTTCTACTCCTAAATAACAACATGGTTAACTTCAAAACACATAACTCACTTTTATACCACAACAGAACAATCTACTCCAAAAAGAGTCCATATACACAGATTCAACAAATACTTGTACAAAGAAAAACAATAAAAGAACAGTCATCTGCACCAAAGGGAGGAACAAAATGGCCGACCAAGGCCAAATATTTTACTTGCCTCCCTGCTAACTCACACTCAAGTTAATGAATGGCTGCTCATGGATGAATAAAAGAAAACCCATACAAACCAAGTTAACCAAAATAAGACCAAGACAGACAAAGTTAAAACGGTCATCCAACAAACACTACAAACAAAGCAGCAGTGCAGTCACATCTCTGATGTACAGTCATCTCCAACCAAGTTACTGGAAACCCCCTGGATGTGCAGTTAAACCGAGAGAGATATACCATGTAGCAAAATGCATGGTAGCTCATCACGCAAGACCACGGCCACTAGCATGCTGAAAAAGGCTTCACTGCTAAAACACAATAGGAGGCTGCACCAAGCCCCATCCCTTGTTCATAATGACATCCTTCCACAAAAGGTCTAGTACCAAGGATGATGCATCGTGAGTAATCAAACCCTTCCCTTTTTATATTATCAAATGCCAACACTGATAGGTTCATAGGATTTAAACCATGTTAACCAATCAAAAAGGAGTAGGGACACTGATAGGTTCACAGGCTGGCATGACATCAGCCAATCATACCTGGTCTATACCTTACCCGGCTACATATATATATG